TAATTGTCTTCTCTGCATGGTCAAATTTCAACATCATACATTTGTTTATTTTTGAGATATTGTTTTGTTTACAGAACAATGCTCTTGACCATATTCATGTTGTGATAGTGTGAGCTAATATGAAATTAATTTGTCTGGAAATAAATGATGGGAGAAATGAGATGTTTCTCAGGAGAACCAGAAAAAGGCTTTTCTGTATGTTTTGAACACAAAATAAAGCCATGAAAACATATTAATTGTTGAAGGTTGACCTTCAACAATTTAAATGCCCTAGGCTTTCTTATGAAGGTCAAAACAACTTTCAGGCTACCATGTCATGACATCATTTTCAATGTCATCAGGTCAACAAAAATAACATCAGAATGGAAAATCATCACTTTATGTATGCAATCATGTGACAAATGAAAAAGAAAAATGTTATGCATTTGCTTGCATAAGGCAGGGATTTTCCACAGTGTGTTTTGAGGGCCTGTAATAAGTGAAAAAAAATTTTTGACTGAAATTTTCACAGTTATCCTCATGCTACATGCTATCTATCATGAAAGAACAGCTAAGTCAGCCAGTCTGGTGAATCTTGATTTATTTTGACATTTATTATCATATTATTAAACAAAAGACAGTCTGCCCAAAAAGGGGCCACCATTTATTTTTTGTGTTCCAGAATTCACATTCACGGCGACAGACCTTCCTTTATAGGCTACATGCCGCCAGAATTTAAAAAAATTGTCCTTTAAAAACTGTCCTTTAAAACAATTGCATCCAATTAAAAAATTTTTTTTAAAAAGGAACTGGTGTTATACAGACGTCTTGCTTTCCATTCATCCTATGGGGTGTTTCTGCTTTTATCTACTGGAACAAGTGCTGGAAAATGCAGATTTCGGAAACTTCCCCCTGGTGACGATACATTCCAATTTTTCCTTTTGTAAATTTTTCATCCAATGGAGATTATTATTATTAAACAAAAGACAGTCTGCCCAATTTATTATCATATTGTTATGGTGTTTATGGATATATCTTAGTTAATACTGGTGCCTAGTCCTATGGAAAAAATTGTTAGTGTTTAGTATAGTTGCTTTATATAATGTGATGTGCATGCTGTGTTGTATTATACTTAAAATCTAATATTTCTAGACTTAAGTGCAGTGGTATGACATCTATGCAGAAAAGAGCTACAGGTGTGACAAGCATCTTATTCATTCTCTATATACTTTGTTTTAAAAGCAAATTCTAAATATTTACTGATATTTTTGTTGTCTTTTGTATGATGTGGAATTTTTAACAACTACATCTATAATCTATGTGATTTTGTTTTATTTGTCAATGAATGTGATATCTGATCTGTTGTGATGGATTATTTTGTCTGTAAATATCTTAAGCCATAATCACAATCTAAACATAGGGTTGATTGCATAGACAGGTTCTAGACATAGCTAGTTTAAAATTTGTTAAAATCATGAATCACAAAAAATGTATTGCAAGAACAACATTTGTCAATGATTGCAATTTAGATAACAATTAGAAACTTGTTTTTAAAGCAGCTTTCTAGATCTGCCCAGTGGCAGGTTTAACAAATAAAGGATAAAGAATCTTCACACACCGGATTAATGTAAAATAATCTCTTAACAAACTTTAACCGATGGGAAATATGAATAATTGTCCACACAAACATTTTCAGATCCCTCCTGGGTCTTTTTCAAGCTACAATTTGTCCATAAAGATTCATTAGAATGAAGACCATCAGTTTTTGAAACAAAATTTCAAATTGCAAAATTCAAAAACAAGGTATTTAGAATGATATTTCAAATTGTGAAATTCGAAACCAAGGTGAATCACGTGCATTCTAGGATTCGTAATCAAAAGTCATTATACTGTATAAAGTCCAGTTTCTTACAACGGCATTTTATGCATTTTTTTAAAAAATAAATAAAAATAAAAGATTATCAGTTGGTTGGAGAGATGAATGTTTTAATACCCTAATTATTATAAGTATTTATTAGTGTGAATCCTCTTTCTGGAATAGGGCCTGCCATGCTAGAGACAAGGTAATTTCATCCCTTGAATGGGTGTGGATGTGTTGTAGATTTTGCATATTTCCATTTGTTCCAACCACCCAAGGGGTCCACGTACGATGTGGTAATAAGGAGTTTGGCATTTGCAAAATTTGCGGAGATCTCCGGGCCCAAGCATATAAAGATAATGATGTAGAACCCCTATTGTGTAGGATGTCCCATTGGTGCTCCGTCCAACCGCACGTTTAGTGGCACCAATGTAGACTAATTCCCTGTCACATCTATGGTCCGTGAGGGGGACAGTGTACACTCTGGTAGCTTATCTTCATTAGGTTTGTTTTTTTCATTGCACAGAAGCCGAAACATAGAAGGGCATCTTCTGAATGCTAAGCATAATCCTTGTTGTCTAGCAATTTTTTGATACAAGGAAGTCAAGAATGGGTTGTAGGTGACTGGGATGATGCGTTGGTCTTGTTCCACGTTATCCTTAGTATGTGGAGGAGGAGGTGGGAGGGTGATGTTGAATTGTTGTGATAATTTTTGTATGATGATGTTGAATCCATGTTGTCAGGTAATCTTATGTAGATACTTCAATTCTTGATCTAAAGCCTCCTGTGTAGAGCAGTGGGTGTGGGCCCTTTTAGCAAGGTCTCTAAACACTGCTAATTTATATCTGAATGGGTCACAGGAGTCTGCCAGAATATACGTTGGGAAGTGACATATCTTGCGGTAAGTAGATGTGTATATGGTAGCTCCTCCAAATGCAATGTTTAAGTCCAAAAAATTGACCGATGAATCACTATGCTGTTCAAGCTCTATGACAAGGACATACAGATTGTCGTTCATCCGATTCACAAAGAGTTGATGTCTGGGTCGTGTCTCCATAGAATAATGATGTCATCAATATATTGCTTGTACAATATGATGTTGTGGCTGAATTCGGAATTATTTTTTCTTCCAGCTGTCTGATTACTAATTCACATAGGTCACCCGAGACCGCACTTCCCATGGGTACGCCTCTGCCTGAGTATACATGGTTCCTCCAAACTGAAATATTGAGCTGTAACATATCAGGTGTGATAATTCTAGAATTTGTTGGTGTAACTCCTGATCATGGACATTTCGGAATAGAAAATCTTGGAGTGCACAAAAACGGAGGTAATTCAATGGATGAGCATAAAGAGCAGAAATCCATGACAGAGATGTAAGCCGGGTGTTCTGTGTGTTTGAGGAATACTATTAATTCCGCCAAATTGGAGATGGAGTATTGGTAATCTTGTAACTGTGGAGAGATGAAGTCATGCAAGGATGCTTCTAATTTGTGAGTGGGAGCCGTGGCCTTATCAACCACAGGTCTCAATTTGTGGCCCTGCTTATGGGTCTTTGCAAATGTGAATAGTTTGGGCATATCCAGGGCATCCATGACAATATCCTGCATTCCAAGTGTAGAAGCCAGTTTTGAGTTAGGAAAGTGTTTAACTCTGGTGTGTAGTTTCTTGATTTCGTTGTTCTGTTGTATGACACATCTGGTAGCATTAATATACTTGTACATCTCCTTTTCATTAAGACCAACATTTTGGTCTTATCAGCCTTGATCAACTTTATATTATTATTGCAGAACCATTTAATTGTGTGTGAAAGGTCCTCTTTGAAGCGATACACTTGTGCAGCATTCTTTTCGTTTTTAAGTTTGCAAGTGGCCATCCACCTGTAATACTCCTTTTGTATGTTTGACATGCCTTGTATCAGTTGTTCCAGGTCAGGAATGCATGTTTTTAGGGTCTCTCTTTTGGTAGGAGTGGGGACATAAGCTGAGCCAAATTTTAGGATCCTTTATACATAATTAGGGATCTGTATATTATCCCATACGATGAAGGGACAATTATGCTGTGTAATTTGAAATATCATTCTAAATACTTTGTTTTTCGAATTTTGCAATTTGAAATTTCATTCCAAAGACTGCTGGTCTTCATTCTAATGAATCTTTAAGAGATTATTTTTGAAATAAAGGATAGATATACAGCCAGAAAAAGCACAACAAAAGTCTATACATATGATTTTTTGGACACCCAGACCTTTTTTTGCTTGAGGTAATTTGAAGAAATACACACAAAAAAGTAGTTTTATGTATATGTATGTATTATACATATCTATCTATCTATATACAGTGGAATCTCCTTAGTTGATGATAATTATTGCATCATATATCTTAACTTTCAAAGTTCTTTGAAGTGATATCATCATTATTTACAATAGATAGGGATAATTATTGGAAATTTATTAGCTTTCAAGATAGATGTTTGAGTAGGAATGCAATAATCTCAATTATAGCATGAATTGAAGATACAGCAAATGAATAGGACAAAACTAAAAAGTGAGGAATGCAATACGTCTTTTGTGGTTTCTGAAAAATCATGAATGTAGAAGAATATTGTATGTCTCAGCATGCATATTTTTATAAAGACACTCTTAATGACTTTTAGAGAAGAAAAAAGCAGTTTGATGAGCTCATAAATGAAATTTAAAATTGATCTGTAATCTTTCCTATTGTATAACTTGCACCAACTTTCTGAAAAATCTTTAAATTGCAGATAGTCTTCAGATTATCCATATGAAATTACAACGATAGTTATCTAGAATTGATTTTATATATATATAATCAGTATATATAAAAAGTTGGTGCAAGTTATACAATAGAAAAGATTACAGATCAATTTTAAATTTCATTTATGAGCTCATCAAACTGCTTTTTTCTTCTCTAAAAGTCACTAAAAGTGTCTTTATAAAAATATGCATGCTGAGACATACAATATTCTTCTACATTCATGATTACATTCATTCATATATATATATTTTTGAAGCAAAAGCTAAAAATAATAATGTTCGTAATGGTTTATGATTAATTGTAATTTGTTTATTAAATGTAATCTAAAATTTACATTAGGGATTTCATTGTTGTATATTCTGTTTTTTCTTTTCTTTTTAATACAGATCAGAAAAATTAGATACTCATTCAACCACAATATCAAATTCTGAGAATGTTTCCTTATCCATACTTCAAAAGAGACCAAAAAGTACATGTAATGAGATTAATGATGATAGTGAACAAAATGATTCAGTCAATAATTGGTTCAAAAAAAGAAAATATTCTGAAATAGATTCAGAATTTTTAACAGATAAAGAAAGAAGTCTAAGAGTATTAATGGATACTTTTCCATATGCAGATATTATGGTAAGTTAATTATAAAGATTTGAGTGAAAAAGTATAATTTTATAAACACTAATTTTTTTTAATTTTTCAACAGGAAATGCAAGATATTCTTGTATCATGTCAATGGGATATTGAAAAGGCAACTGCACGCATTAAACCAAATACAGAACAGGATACATTAAATCAAATGAAAAAGAAATTAACAAATACACAACATTCAGTACCAACTGATAATGTAAAAAAATCAAATATACATGCACCCATTATAAAAGACTCGGAAGATGAAAGTGATGATGGATGGTTATCAAAAACAACTGCAATGAGAACATATGGAAGAAATTCTACAAAAAAAAATTACAGCAACGCAAAACCAGTTATTTCTGATGAAAGTGATGTTGAAAAGAAGTCTGAGGATAATAAAAATACATCAGTTTCAGATAATAGCTGGTTTAATCAAAATTGTGAAACATTTGATGATTTGTTTCAGTTAAAGGTTGAACCAGAAAATAATTCAGAATCTGTGAATAATATCGTAAAAAAAAAGAAGAAAATTATTCCGATGAGAGAGTCAAGTGATGATGATGACACTCCACATGTTAGAACACCTCTCAAAAAACCTATGCATTTACAAAAGAGAAAAAAAATTAAAAAAATAAGAGCTGATAGTGATGACGACGACATAGGAGATTATCAGCAAGAAAATGTTTACGATAGTGATAATAGTGATGACAATGACGATGTATTGACTCCAGCCAGAGCTTCAGTTCTAAACTTTTTTCAAGAAGCAACAAGTGAGGAATTAATAAGTGTTCCTGGTTGTAGCAAAAAGAAAGTTGACATTATTGTGGGCCTTCGACCATTTAGTGGATGGATGGATTTGGTAAACAATTACAGAAATAATTTTAAAAATTATAGATTGTTTTAAATTAATTATTTCATAATTTTATTTCAAATTCATTTATGATATTATCATTTGAAAAAATAATTTTACTTTTATTTTAAATTTCCTATAGGTTAATAAATTTGAGAGTAATAAATATATAACTCCTGATTTACTTAATGGAGCCAGAACACTGATAAACACTAGGGAAGCAGTAATAAAATTGATGCAACGATGTCAACGTATCTCCGAAGAATCTGGAAAAATGATTGAATATTTAATGGAAGGAAGGGGGGATGAAATTGAAGGTTATATCTCACAACAGCCTTCATTATTAAACAATAGGTAAAAATAGTTAATAATGATATATCTTTTAAAGTTATTTTATATTCAATTTAGCATTTTATAAAATGATATTACAGATTACACTTAGCACCATATCAACTCTTGGGATTGAATTGGTTAGTTTTAATGCACAAAAAGCATATAAATGGAATCTTAGCTGATGAAATGGGCTTAGGAAAGACAATCCAAGCTATTGCTTTTCTAGCACAAATTAAAGAAAAGGGAGAAGAAGGACCATTTCTTATCATTGTTCCTTCATCTACAATAGGTAAATTTTTTATTTTTTAGTTTAGTTTGTAACTTTTAATCTACAAAATACATTTTAAAAATTATTATTATAGATAACTGGTTAAGAGAATTACGTTTATGGTTACCATCTGCAAGTGTTTTATGTTATCGAGGACCTCAAGACGAAAGAAGACTTCTAAGACATCAGATCCTCAATGATGAAGTGGATGATTTTGATGTTTTGGTCACAACGTAAGTAATTCAGATAATAAAAATGTAATATTTAGTTTTAAAAACAAAGAAGAAATTAAATTATATACATACTAAACTATGTGCCACTATTTTAGGGATAAATTCCAGAATCAAAAATAAGTTTAAAATCTCCTTTAAACATTTTACAAAATCTACTTAATTTTTGGCATATGTCTTGCCAAAAGAAGGCTACTTTTTTAAAATTAATTATTTTTGTGTTTGGAAGAACTTATCAGTGTGAGCAGTTATTTACAATTATATTATGAAAGGAAATAATCTGTCAGATCAAAAATTACCGACATTCACCTTGGACCAGTTTTGAAAGTAACCACTGCAAATAAGATTTCCTCAGGGAAGAAAATATAGTAGCAGAGAAGAGATGCCAAGTGTCAGGAAGAAAACATTAATTTTATTGTTGCTTTTTTTTTTTCAGTTCACATAAACTTAAACCTTTGTTTATTTGGCCGTGTTAGCCTTTGAGTTTGACATGCTTGCTGTGTTCTAATTGTAGTGGTCAAACTATCCAATAGAATATGGAAATTCTGTTTTGTTTATCCAATTACTGTTTAGAAAACATTATGCAAAGTTGTAATTATGTTTATTTTTAGTTTTGATTTTGTTAGAAAAACTATAGAAAGTAATGCCATTGTCTGTAAACAAAACCAATTGTTAAGCTAGGCTACCACTTTAAATGTGTATGATTATTTTTAGGTATCTAAATTCACTTTATGGGATAAAAAGTATATTGAGTTAATAGCTTATGATATAATAATTGTTGTCCTAATGTGTCTTAACTGTCAAAGATCTTTGAAATTATGCTATTATGTAGATACGGGATAATTATTGAAATATATTGGCTTTCAAGACATAGGTTCAAATATTAGTGTGAGATCTGACCTCAGAGGAAGGCCAAAATTGTTCATTTTTCCCCCTAAATTTTCAACGTATGTGAAATAAATTTGTCGCCTCCTCGTTAAAATAACATTGCCGGAAAAAAGAATCAAATATCGATAGAAACATATAACTTTCCTCATTAATATAAACATTCAACCCTCGAACAATGACATTCCTCTGCTGCAAGACGAAAAGTTTATAGTTAAAGTCCGAATTCATGATTTTGTTTTGGTCAGGGAACAACTTTAGCCTCCACACCTGCAGGACCAACTCTACCTCTCACAATAGGGGATCACCTGACTAATTTCCCCAGCCCGAAGCTATAAAAGCGACTTCTTTCCCCCTCCTCAGGGGAGTCTCTCATCTATGGCTGGTCAAAAAGGTTTAAGTCTCGGAGGATTTTAACTTTGTGCGTTGATCGGAAGAATAAGGGCATCAACCTAACGTCTACGTTAAAAATATACTAGAGATATGGAGCATAAAATGTAAACTCTCTCTCCACGAGTTAGGAGCTAGCGAACTAACTTCATTTCTCCAGATGTTAGATTTTGTAGTCATTATTTTTTTCGTTAATCTAATAAATCGTTGTTTCTATTGTTAAATGGTGTCATTTACTCGCATATTGCCTATGCCTCGTTGACGACCCCTCTCACCTCTTCCGCTCGACCTGACAAAAAGAATCCTGACCCTTCGGGACTGCATTCGAAAAGTAGCCATCTTGACAAGTGAGCAGGTTTAATGACCTGTAGCCGAAAAGGGAGAGTCGACGGTTCCTGACCTCCCCGGCAGTTCACATTAGTGTCTGATATTGTTTGTTAAAGCATGGATTGAACAAACATAAAGAAAATGAATGTGAGAGAACTAAGGCACAGATGTACAGTACATATAAGCATCTATCTTTGATGCTTTTGGGATAAATCTTGATGGCAGAAGAATATGCCAGCAGTGTACATAAGGTCTTTCACATTTTGTAAAGATGTTCTTGGTGACTTTAGATAAAGAAAAAATAGTTTGATAAGTTCATAACAACAATTTAAAGTCAGCATATAACCAATTGTATTGCATAATTTGCACTCACTTTCAAATTGTGTTTTAAACACAAATAGTCCATGCACAAAATTATAGAAAATAGATTTTTCTATTTTACAATTAAAATATTATTATTATTATTATTATTTACAGATATGCTTTAGTTACTAGTAGTGCTGAAGATAGAAGCCTCTTTAAACATCTTGATTTTCATTATGTGATATTTGATGAAGCTCATATGTTAAAAAATATGAGAACACAACGATATCAAAACCTTATGAGAATTAGAGTAAGAAATATTTTCAATGAGCTAATTTTTAAACTTTTACTTAAAATTTTTATGACTACAATTTTTTTTTTTTAAGGCAAAGCGTCGCCTTCTCTTAACAGGCACACCACTTCAAAATAATTTATCTGAACTTATGTCTCTACTTATTTTTGTAATGCCCGATATGTTTTTAGGAAAAATTGATCAAGTAAAACAAGTATTTTCTACAGCCTGTGTGAGTTTGAAATTATTTATATAATTATTTTCTCATTATAATTAATGTAGTTTAATTTTTATAATTTTATTTAGAATGATTTATAAAATGATAATCTTTTATGGTATTTTATGTCTTATTAATTATATGTTAAATATTTTTATAACTTTAATATATATATTACAAAATGGACTCAAATATATGTAATCATATTCAATAATTTTCTATTGATTAACTAGAAAACTGAAGATAATAGAAGTAATTTTGAACGTGAAAGAATTGAACAAGCTAAAAGGATAATGAAACCTTTTGTATTAAGAAGATTAAAATGTGATGTAAGTTTATCTAATTCAGTTAATTTGCTAAAATACAGTCAATAACAGTAACACTAAATAATAATTAATTTGCAAATCACATGCAATAGCAGAAATTTTCTGCACTTAATTTTTTGCAGGCATTTTTCACCAAACTGACTTGTTTAGCTGTGCTTCCATGCTTTCCATGTTATCCTCATTATACATGCTATCTACCTGTGCAAAATTTCAGTCAAAAAATTTTTCCCCTTATCACAGGCCATCAAAAAACTGCTGCAGAAAATTACTGCCTTATGCATGCAGTCATACAATTTTTCTTTATTGTTGCATGATTGCCAGCATATAGCAGCAATTTTCCATTCTGACATAATGCCATGGCAGTCTGCAAGTCACTATGATCTTGAGCATTTGTCTTCATAAGATAGTATGGTGCACTATGACTTTCAACAATTTAAATTTTAAATGTTTTTGTGTCAAAAAATACAAAATTATTTTCTGGTCCTTCTGAGAAACATCTCAGCTATCCCATCGTTTATTTTTAGCTGAACTTGTCTCAAATTACTTCACATTATTGCAATGGGAGCATGGTCAAGGACATTGTTCTGTAAACAAAACAATATATTGAAAATTAAACAAAATAGGACATTGAAATTTGGCTTGTTCATTGGCATGTGAAAACACATTAAAGGAGTTTTCAGAATCATCAAATTCAAGGAGCAATAATTGTGCATGAAAACTCAGCACAAAATCACACCTCTCGCTGTTTTTTTTAATTCTGTTATTTGTTAACACATTTGCGTGTTAACAAATAAAAATAAGCACATATGATCTCAGATTAAATATATAGTAGTCCAGAAAAGATTGCTTGGCTCTCACTCCTAAAATTTCTTTCAAAAAATTTAAGAGATGTGCATGTATATGTTAGTATACCTTTTGTAATTTGAAACTAAAACATATAATGTTTTGAAAAAAATTTTGAAGCAGTGGATGTATGATTAGTGAGAGAGCTGTTACTCACTGTATTTTTTTCTTAAGAATATAAGTACATTTTTTCACATATTTCAAAAGATATATGATACTTTTCCAATGAAAAAATACTTTTATAAGTTAAATTAGCCAAGTTATCCAATTATAAATGTGTGAAACAAATGTATTAATTTGTAAATTCTTTGTGTCCTTGTGTAAGCTATTTTCATGTCCTTCTTTTGTGCTATTTCTTTATATAGGGAATGTAGGTTCTTGTTATACTCAATGACTGTGTTTTTCGCATTAGGGTCCCAATCAGGAATCTTGTTGGACTCCTGGTCTGTGGAGGTGTGACGCCCACTTTGTAGTCTATGGAGGTTCTGAGAGCATTACTCAATAGGAAGGTTATCCCTATTGAGGAATGCTAAAGACACACCTGATAGTTTGAGGGCACCAGGAATGTATAGTGTCCCAATTAGGGACCATAGGTTCCAGAAAAATTTAGTATACATTAGTTCGACCAAGAAGTCCATACAATAAAAGGATTAAGAAACACATATGACAGCACCAAAAAAAAAAAAAAGAAGATACAACACAACCACGGCAATATATGCCACCAACCCTGATGTAATGGCTGACTTGGACAACACCAGCATAATTAAGAAATCCTTCCAGATAGACCACATCAGGGCCTTAGAAACACTCAAAATTTATAAGGCAAGTTAATTGGGGAATTGTGTAAACTACAAGGAAAGTAATGTGATATCATACACATGGAGATATGCCTGTAAAGACCATATGCATCAATAATTATATTTTATTCCCTTATGGGTTTCTCACACTATTAAAACACAGTCTCGGGGTACATTCTTTCAAATCTTTATTATCAATTCATTACTGGTTCAAGCAATTTTCATTCAAAAACGTTCAAGATTCTTGTCATTCCACATTTGGAACAATTGTGAACCTGAAGCAAATTCTGGAGGAAGAATTGAAAATGTTCATTCATCTATTTTATTTGATCTGAACCAGAAATCTAAAGGCTTAGAGGTGATACTTATTTGTACTGGTATTTTCTCTAGAAAGTGGTTTTAAAAATATTGTTTTAATTTTCAACTGATTTCATTTTAGTTAATTTTTATTTTAATTTTAGTTTCAGTTTTCGTATAAAGGCCAGAATTTTAATTATTTTTTGTTTACTTTATTTCATATTAATTTTATTTGTTTTTATACTACCTGTCAGTACTACACANAATTTAAAGTAAATGTTAATTGCTCTCACTATCACTATTATATTATAAAAACAATTCATCAGTTGCACTATCACAGCTGATTTTGTAACTAGTGTTGGCATCATTTTCTCAAAGCCATCCATTGCATTTGTAATTTTTAAAGGAATGAATTATTATTTCACTGGGAACTTTCCCAGGTGTTCCTGCTTTTTTAAATTAAAAAAAAAATTTTAATTATAAGTGAATTACCATTGAACTATCCAGGATTGATTCTGGATTTCCCAATCATTTTCCATTCTTAAGCTTGATGTTTATTAATTAATGACTGTACCATGCTTGTAATGTAAATTATTAATTTTTTGCTAAATTAAAATAAACTTTAGAACATATTCAAAAGAATTGGAATTGAGAGTTTTTAGCAGAATTGAAATCAAGAATAATTTTCATATGGCTCCTTCACTAGTAGAAACATGCATTATTGTTCATGTCACAAGCCTGAGCAGTGACTCCCCACCAAGTAAAAAAGTCACTGACTAACTATACATATTCAGGAATCAGAGTTGCCAATTTTCAGGCGTCAATTTCTTTGTCCTCCCAAACATCAAGTAATTTTGAATAGCTTGTTTTAAAAAAATTGTTTTCTTAGGTAATGGTCAAACTTTCAATACTTTCTATAAAGCAATTGCTGAAATATAGGCAATTGGAAAGTGCAAAAATTGCCAAAAAGGCAGTATTTTTCTTCTTTTTCTTCATCAGGCACTGTAGATGTTCATACAGAAAATACTACTGGTACTAAATTTTTAAACTTAACCTTTCTTGTTATCAGTGAGGTGCTGGCAAAACTTCCATATTGTGAGGTCAAAGTTCATGGGGGTTTCCATAGAGCTAATTCAGTTTTACAGTAGTTTTAATTTAATGCTTATAAAGATAAAATTGCAATGAAACAAATGAATTTTATTGAAAACGTTACTCAGAATGACAAGAGTTCAAATTTATGCCAATTAAAACTTTTTATAACAATTTTTCTAAACAGCATATCGAAAGTGTCAGTTGGCAGCGCAGTCACTGAGCACTGACCAAATCATACATCATTCTCTTATGTCTTGATGTAATTATACAGAATTATTAAACAAACACAATTGATATTCAAATAAAAACATCTGAAATGTAAAAAATTATGCCAAGTAAAACTTTTTTAGGCATTTTTCTTTGGTAAAGATAAGCTTGATGCTTCCAAGTGGTACCTACAAGATTTTTACCTGTATTATTGTTCTCTATATTTTGCCTTTAAGCACCAAGTGTAACTTTACTAAAGAAAAACTGTTAAGAAAAATTTTGACTGTTGTCTAAATTGTCATAAATTTTTACTTGTCATAAGTTTTTTGCATCTCAGATGTTTTTGTTTGAATACAGGTAACTAGAAGAAATTACAGTGAAAATAAAAAATAATTAATCAATTGCAGTTGCATATACCAGTTCCTATTTTTTTACTGAAAGGTTTCTCACTTTTTGATCACATTTTACTCACTATTTCTTCCAAAAACTCACTTTTCTCACTAGTTTTGACTTACATGTGCGCTAAGAGCCCTGTAATTTACATACAGTAATACTGTAATGTACAGTAAATGTAATAATCCCCCTCTCTAAAGTCAAATATGAAACAAGTTTTACAAACAAACTGGGTAGTAAAGGAAACTACCATTGCATGAAAGATTAAAATTTTTTAAATGGAAAAAAAATTTTCGATTATTTTTGACTTTATATCTTAAAAATTCAGCTGATATGTAGGACTATATAAAGACACAGTTAATTTTATAAAATTATTTCATTAAGAGAAAAACTTACAAGGAAAGGTTTGAAATTACCAATGTCACATTTTAATGAGATGTCATTTTATAGAGATTGCCTCCCTGATAACCTTTTTCTGCAAAATTCTTTGTTTGCATAAAAAAGTAAAAAAAATTTAACTTTATTTAAATGTCTTAATTAAAATAAATACTAATAAGACGCAGCAATGGCTGAGTCATGTAGTTCGTTAATTCTGCATTTTGATTTGTGGAAGATTGCACTTTCAAGATTGAAAATTTTTTCTTTTTTTTTTAACTATCATATTTATTTGATTCTAAGCTACATCTCAATTCTCAATAGATTTGTGTTTAAAGTAAAAAAATACTAGTAGTAAGATTTATTTACAAAGTTCAAAAAATGAGTAGTAACAAGAAGTGAAAAATTAATTTTTTTAAAATATAATAGATATGTAATTTAAAGTAAATGTTAATTGCTCTCACTATCACTATTATATTATAAAAACAATTCATCAGTTGCACTATCACAGCTGATTTTGTAACTAGTGTTGGCATCATTTTCTCAAAGCCATCCATTGCATTTGTAATTTTTAAAGGAATGAATTATTATTTCACTGGGAACTTTCCCAGGTGACAGATACTCATTCTGCAATTTTTTAATCTCAATATTTTTATGAATATATTTATATATACATATATTTCTCTTTTATAAAACTGAACTTATAACAGCTCAGTAAAGTATCATCTCATTGCCTTTAGTTATAAAATTATTTTAAATATTTAATTTCTAAATAGGTACTAAAACAACTTCCTGCAAAACATGATGAGGTTAAATTATGTCCAATGGCAGAGGCACAATACAAAGAATATACCAACTTAGTTGCAGAATTATCCAGTAAAGTAAGTATTTTAAAGATTTGATCATATACAAAAGAAAAAATGATATATATCACTTGCTCTGCTTTGTTATCAGGTTAAGAAAAGTACAGAAGAGAAAGTACACACAAATGGTATAGGAATGATGATGGAATTAAGGAAATTAGCTAATCATCCTTTATTAATTAGGAGGTTGTACACGGAAGATAAACTTCAGCAAATGGCCAAATTAATGCTAAAGGTAGTAATATTAGACAATTAAAATTAATATTAACCACTCAGCAGTGAGGGATGTATATATATCAAATTCTTTGGGGGTATTGCCAAAAACTACTGCGAAAAAAATTCACATAAAAAATGAATTGTGTAACAATAAAAAAAGACTTTTCTTTACTAGACATAACTGTTTACAAAATATTTTTCCAAAACAGTAATGAGAAAAAAATGCATGAAAAAATACTTTAAAAATTTCCCAGGTATATTCTCCACTACTTTGGGATAGCACCATACCTGACTATCCATCCCACTGCTGAAAGGTTACATTTTTAAATTTTATAATAATAATATATTTTTTTGTAGGAACCAACTCATTGTGATGCAAATCCTGAACTAATTTTAGAAGATATGCTTCCTATGTCTGATTTTCAATTACACAAGCTCTGCCATCAATATAAAGTAAATATTATTAGTTTGATTTTAGTTTAAAAATTATTAATGATATAATGATACATTATTAATTACAGTTTGCATTAAGGTTTTATCAATCTAATAGCATATCCTATATTGCACATCCTAATAAAAGGATGTATATAGCACAGATTATATCCTACTGGATTATTTTTTTAATAAAACAAATTTAAGTTCATAAAATATAAACATTATTTCTCAAGCTTATAATTAAACATATGATTTTTAAAAAAATATACACTGTTGGACAAGCAAAATGCAACACTGTGAAAGAAGCTTCCATTGTTTCAATATCTATAGTCCATTGTGTTGTATTGCTTGGCCAGCAGAGTATATTTTTTTAATAAAGAGGAATAAAATAAAATCAAACAAAATTAAATTATCAACACTGAAGCAATTATCTTTTCTTATATTTGAATCAGTCTTTGTTAATTTATTATTTGTATCACAGATGATTTTGTTATCTATATTAGATAATAATACAATGCCAAACATTTTTTGAATTCATTTTATTTTAGTTTATAATAATGTAAATTTGAATTAAAGACCCCTTTTTCAATTTGCAGATTCAGTCTGATTGTTATACATAACAATAAAACAGAATCTATTGAATTGAAATATAAAATAATTTTCGAATAAAAATTAGTTTATATTTTACTTAAATGCATTCGATATATGTAAATAAAATTCATTACTTAACAAATTTTGCTAAAAATGCATGAAGTTTCTAAATTGTCAATTAGATTTTCATTTTACATAACTGAATTAGATATATGCATATTAGATAGAGTCCCAAGTCCAAATATTCTATTAACTCAAGAAAAAATTTGATTAATTGAAAAATTGGAAGTAATTCTATTAGATATGAAGATGCAAGAACAGTAACAAATAAATTTTGTTTGGTTTATTTGTCATCCAGATTAATTTAAAATAATTTTTTATCTGTAATATTGATATTTAGAATTTTACAAGATGGAGTCAAGGATTTCTTGTTCCAATGTTTTTACAAATAAGTAAATTGATTTTGTAGTTGGTATCAATAGCATTTTACAATCTCTAGTCTTGTATCTGAAATCTTTGATACCAGATAGACTTTGAATTTTGGGATGGCACAAATTAATATTATTAATAATTAATAAATTAACTGGTATATTTACCATAAAAAATCCACCTTTAATTTTCCAACATTTGTTTTCTGTGTAATCCTTTTAAATGATCATCTTCAGACTCATTAAATATGAAATTATAACACCATAATAAACAATCATTGTCAAACAAATTTAGCAGAACAAGTTTAAATAAATACAGAAGCTTTTAACTTGTTTAAAATTATTTAAACTTATCACTTTGCAAATTATTTTTCACCTCCAAATGAACATGTTTAAAAATAGTAATATAACTTGATTTCTTTAAATGTACAGTATATAAACATTTAACTATTTGTAAAATCATGTAACTTGTTTATGTATGTAGTGTTCTCCAGGTGTTTGATAGAGACAATATTAAATGGTTTCATTATGTTTTTGCACTTATTTTGAACAATGTTACAAGTAAAAACATGCAACTTAGTATGTTTTTCTTGATTGATTGGTCTATAAATTATAAATTACAATAAACAACTATAATATTAAAATGTTTGTCATATGTATAGAGTTTTATGCCATCAGAATGGAATAAAGACAAGTTTTTTTTTTCTTTTTTTAATATTACTTGCTGAGAACTTCTTCCATGCTCTTTAAAATGGATTTTTGGAAATGTATAAAAGTCTATTCTTTAAAGTGAATGCAGTGAACACTTTATTACAGTTATTTTATTGCTAATAAGGATAGTTTATTTCTATTTTCTTCACTTTTATAACAATTTAAAAGGGATTTTTTGGACAAATAAATCGAAATATTATGTCCTTCGAATTAGATGTTCACCTGAGTTCAAGAATTACTCAGAAGACAATTAATTCTCAGATATTTTATTTAAATGCATTTTGGATTGGAAATCTTGCCAATTACTCATCAATAAAAGGTACAATGTGTAACAGAGATTACATTGATATTTCTGACTCTTTGAAATATCAGTGTGACAAGGTGTCAGGTATTAGCTCACATTTATTCAGACTTTTACATTTTATACTATTTTATCTTTTTAATAATAATTGACATTTAAAGATACCTGTTTAGATTTTTATTTATGAAAAATTATATGTAATAATCTGTTTTGTATGCATTATATGCTGCAAGATGACAAAATTATACAATTAAAAAAATACTTATAAAAATGATTTTTTAGTTGATAATTAATGATTTATTGAATTATTTCAGACTGTTTCATCATTTAAATTAAGTCCTGAAACAATAGTGAGTTCTGGTAAATTTCAAATGTTAGATAGCTTTATACCTGAGCTAAAACAAAATGTAAGTTGAATACATTAATAATCAGATTTAATAAATTTTTTCAAAGTAAAAATTAATATAACAAAATTAAATATTCCAGGGTGATAGAATTTTATTATTTAGCCAGTTCACAATAATGTTAGACATCTTAGAAGAATACATGAATATCAGAAATTACAGGTTTCTACGAATGGATGGCTCAATACCTGTTGCAGATAGGTAAGTGCTGTAACTCAGATGCCAAATTTATACATTTAACTTGATAAAAAGTTTAATTAAATTTTAAGTATGAACAATTATGCATATTATTTGTATTGTTCAAATTATTCTTTGTTATTGCTGAATTTTTTATTGTAAAAGACTACCAACACAACATCTCAACTATCACTTCACCAATAAATGCTTTTTGTGAATATTTAAAATTGCTAAGAATCTGTTATTTCTAATTCACTCATTTAATTACACCAAATAATTGTAAATTCAGCAATAAGGGAATCTATAATGTAATCTTATTAACTAATTAAGTAATTTGATAGCATTTGCAATTGAGAATGTTCTATTTATAAGCATTGTTTATATGAAAAGTATTTTTATATTTTGTTGGATTATGTTTTGAATCATCATTTTAAATGTATGTTTAGCTCTTGGTTTAATGTTGTATATTTTAATTGTACTTCATCTAAGACAGGAGTGAATCATGTTGCTCAAACGTCTAATAATAATGAATAATAATGAGAAAAATAGCTTTTTATTCCCATTGTTTATATCCTAATAAGCATAACATTATCAAAAAATAAACAATATTTATTATTATATAGAAATAGAATTTGTATCATAAAAATAAACAATTATTATTTATAGTTTCTCTCTCTTATATTTTTACTAGTAGCCTGCGACGCCCCCTAGTGGGCGTTATTTACAAATTTCCATGAGGCACGGTTCCTTTGACTTGTTTGTTCCTATCAATATGCCGTACAGCTCTGTTAAAGTCCCAATTGTAAGATTTACCCTCCGAATGAAGAGGTGAGCTGTACCCTCCGAATGAAGAGGTGAGCTGTAGCCCCTGTGCGAACGATAAAGTCAAAGGAACCATACCCCTACTCGCGACCCTTTGTGAGATATAAGCCCCTAAAATAATAAATTCCTATTACAAATATACTGAATTATTTATATTGTTATATTGACCAAATAATAATTTATAGGCCAATGAATAATAATAATTTATATTGTTAATTTAAATAATAATTAAAATTGTTAATTTGAATGTTTGAAATATGACACACGATAGGGGTGCCTCTAGTGTCCGTTATCAAACGGTTACGCGGACAGACACCCGTTGAACGGTTACACGGACAGACACCCGTTATATATATAGATAAATAAAGTGCATTATTTACTATTTGTGATATTAGAATGAATATATATTATTTTTTAATTTTTAAGTTAAAGATTTTTTAATCGGATAAAAATCAACAGACAGTTTTTATATTTTCGTTTATAAGATTTTTAACTTAACTCTTCTGAGGTTGAGAATTTAAAAAATTATTCTGAATGTTTTTGTTTTGAAATGATATAGAATCTGGCAACTGAAAGGACTGACAATATTGATTTGCTAGTATTGCTTCAACTTTTTTTGAAGGGGCAAAACTGCATGTTATTCTCAACACTATCTTAGATATCTGGGAGATAAAAATAACAGCATAATTTATTAGGATATTCTAAGTTTTTGGTTTTCTATCTGAAAATGAATTGATGTGGCTTTATTATTTGTGGTGATTAAATTGTGAAGAACAAAACTTGTATAGAGAGTTAAAATGAGCTCATTATGTATTAAATATCTGAGACTTATTTGACTGATATAATCTTTGTTATAATCTATACTAATATTATAAAGAGATAATGTTTGTAAGTAAGTAAGTTTGGATGTAACGGGTAATCTCCGAAACTACTCATCCAATTTCAAAAATTCTTTCACCAATATTTAGAATAGAACTTCAGGGTGGACATAGGCTATATATTATTCCGTTAAACATTCATATAAATTAAAAGATATAATCTAGGTTAAGGCTTTTAAATCCAACAGATGGCGCTACAAGTACGATGCCCTAAGTTTGCTTTTCTGTGAGGCATTACACTTTTCTGTGAAAATGAACTAAAGCAGATCATCTTCTATCTATCTATATAAATAAAAATGTAATGTTCATTTGTTCCTACCGATTCCTTTGACATTTTGACATAATGCTGCATTTGAATATGCACGTGTTTTTATATAATATACATGTCGAAATTCCCCCCACTGAAGGGAGGTGGTTAGGATTAAGGCTTACCGTAAAGAACTCTGCTTCTATTTATACTATTTTAGATGCGGGTTTTTGCATTTTTGATTGCGTTTTAATAGGGTACATCAAGAGAATGTACACTAAGAAGAAATTTTTCGAAAAATTTCCCCCATGGGGGAAATTATACATTTATAATAGATACATTTTGAGCCACAACAACGCGTGGCGGGGTCTGCTAGTCTAACTATATACAAAGAAATAATTTTTATTTATATTTATTGCAATCAGTTCTTTATGTGTGTGTAAGTGATAATTTACTGTATATATTACATAAATTGAGATGAAATTTTGCTTTGATCCATTGATCCATGTCGATTAATAATTACTATTTTTGCTATTTAGCCAAGAATTATATTCTCTTAGACTAAGAGACCTTTTTTTTTTCTTTTTAATCACAAGATGTGATGCATCATACATCATTCTTACATTGCAGAGATTGTTAAAAGTATTAATTCAAATTTTTCTTAAAATTTCACCAGTAGCTAATAAANAATTCCCCCCACTGAAGGGAGGTGGTTAGGATTAAGGCTTACCGTAAAGAACTCTGCTTCTATTTATACTATTTTAGATGCGGGTTTTTGCATTTTTGATTGCGTTTTAATAGGGTACATCAAGAGAATGTACACTAAGAAGAAATTTTTCGAAAAATTTCCCCCATGGGGGAAATTATACATTTATAATAGATACATTTTGAGCCACAACAACGCGTGGCGGGGTCTGCTAGTCTAACTATATACAAAGAAATAATTTTTATTTATATTTATTGCAATCAGTTCTTTATGTGTGTGTAAGTGATAATTTACTGTATATATTACATAAATTGAGATGAAATTTTGCTTTGATCCATTGATCCATGTCGATTAATAATTACTATTTTTGCTATTTAGCCAAGAATTATATTCTCTTAGACTAAGAGACCTTTTTTTTTTCTTTTTAATCACAAGATGTGATGCATCATACATCATTCTTACATTGCAGAGATTGTTAAAAGTATTAATTCAAATTTTTCTTAAAATTTATTATTAAAATTGATATATGTACTAACAATTATTTTTTCTAGGCAACCACTCATAGATGAATTTAATGAAACTCCAGAAATACTGGTGTTTCTATTGTCTACTCGAGCTGGAGGACTTGGCATCAATCTGACCGCTGCAAATGTCGTCGTAATTCACGACATAGATTTCAATCCATACAATGATAAACAGGCAGAAGACAGATGTCACAGAGTTGGACAGACCAGGTAAGTGAGAGATTAAGACTTTATTCGATTATAATAAATATCTGTACCAGTTCTTTTTTTATGTTAATATTTAAAGGAATATCCCTTACTTGTTCCATTTTGCATGATAAGAAAAAATGTCACTGATCTGAGAAATTCATAGTGTTTTAAAATTAACATTTATTTGAAGTCTTACAGATTCTAGTTTAAATTTTCATGTAATAAAGATTATTATTTTTTAAATGAAATCAATTTTAAAGCATAAGGAACAAAATATAAACAGAATTGCTAAAAATCAAGAAAATGTTTTAAGAAGTATGCAATGACAATGATTGTGTGCGAGAATTGAAATACAGTAGAGCGTCGTTTATCCGAAAGAATTACAGTTGGCAAATTTAAATTTTCGCTAGTGCTGTGGCATTGCAATCTTTGGCTATGCCTTGGGCTACTCAAATATTTTACGTTTTTGATACTAAATTAACTTCTGAAGTATAATTTTTTATTGTTTTTATATTTTTCAATATATTTATTTTGTTTGTACAAAGTAAAGAAATAATTTTTAACGATACAATAGCCATGATTATTATTTTAAAAAGTTTACGTTAGGCTTAACATTGACGAAAATTCAACGCAGAGCAACACGCAACGGAGAAAAATTTCAGGATGGGATAGTCAATGTATTTTTTCGTACATAATCAGTTATCCAAAAAGTAAGTTATCTGAACAACCCCAGTCCCCAATTGATTCGGATAAACGACGCTCTACTGTATGATCTTTGTTAGTTAATTTATTTGAACCCTGTTACATGCACTGTATAAGTTTCTTTTTGAACTAAATGGAATAAAGATTAAAAATATGCAAAATCATTATTTGTTGATAAATATAAAACTTTTTATATAATTCTGTATCTGNAAAAAAAATTTTCGATTATTTTTGACTTTATATCTTAAAAATTCAGCTGATATGTAGGACTATATAAAGACACAGTTAATTTTATAAAATTATTTCATTAAGAGAAAAACTTACAAGGAAAGGTTTGAAATTACCAATGTCACATTTTAATGAGATGTCATTTTATAGAGATTGCCTCCCTGATAACCTTTTTCTGCAAAATTCTTTGTTTGCATAAAAAAGTAAAAAAAATTTAACTTTATTTAAATGTCTTAATTAAAATAAATACTAATAAGACGCAGCAATGGCTGAGTCATGTAGTTCGTTAATTCTGCATTTTGATTTGTGGAAGATTGCACTTTCAAGATTGAAAATTTTTTCTTTTTTTTTTAACTATCATATTTATTTGATTCTAAGCTACATCTCAATTCTCAATAGATTTGTGTTTAAAGTAAAAAAATACTAGTAGTAAGATTTATTTACAAAGTTCAAAAAATGAGTAGTAACAAGAAGTGAAAAATTAATTTTTTTAAAATATAATAGATATGTAATTTAAAGTAAATGTTAATTGCTCTCACTATCACTATTATATTATAAAAACAATTCATCAGTTGCACTATCACAGCTGATTTTGTAACTAGTGTTGGCATCATTTTCTCAAAGCCATCCATTGCATTTGTAATTTTTAAAGGAATGAATTATTATTTCACTGGGAACTTTCCCAGGTGACAGATACTCATTCTGCAATTTTTTAATCTCAATATTTTTATGAATATATTTATATATACATATATTTCTCTTTTATAAAACTGAACTTATAACAGCTCAGTAAAGTATCATCTCATTGCCTTTAGTTATAAAATTATTTTAAATATTTAATTTCTAAATAGGTACTAAAACAACTTCCTGCAAAACATGATGAGGTTAAATTATGTCCAATGGCAGAGGCACAATACAAAGAATATACCAACTTAGTTGCAGAATTATCCAGTAAAGTAAGTATTTTAAAGATTTGATCATATACAAAAGAAAAAATGATATATATCACTTGCTCTGCTTTGTTATCAGGTTAAGAAAAGTACAGAAGAGAAAGTACACACAAATGGTATAGGAATGATGATGGAATTAAGGAAATTAGCTAATCATCCTTTATTAATTAGGAGGTTGTACACGGAAGATAAACTTCAGCAAATGGCCAAATTAATGCTAAAGGTAGTAATATTAGACAATTAAAATTAATATTAACCACTCAGCAGTGAGGGATGTATATATATCAAATTCTTTGGGGGTATTGCCAAAAACTACTGCGAAAAAAATTCACATAAAAAATGAATTGTGTAACAATAAAAAAAGACTTTTCTTTACTAGACATAACTGTTTACAAAATATTTTTCCAAAACAGTAATGAGAAAAAAATGCATGAAAAAATACTTTAAAAATTTCCCAGGTATATTCTCCACTACTTTGGGATAGCACCATACCTGACTATCCATCCCACTGCTGAAAGGTTACATTTTTAAATTTTATAATAATAATATATTTTTTTGTAGGAACCAACTCATTGTGATGCAAATCCTGAACTAATTTTAGAAGATATGCTTCCTATGTCTGATTTTCAATTACACAAGCTCTGCCATCAATATAAAGTAAATATTATTAGTTTGATTTTAGTTTAAAAATTATTAATGATATAATGATACATTATTAATTACAGTTTGCATTAAGGTTTTATCAATCTAATAGCATATCCTATATTGCACATCCTAATAAAAGGATGTATATAGCACAGATTATATCCTACTGGATTATTTTTTTAATAAAACAAATTTAAGTTCATAAAATATAAACATTATTTCTCAAGCTTATAATTAAACATATGATTTTTAAAAAAATATACACTGTTGGACAAGCAAAATGCAACACTGTGAAAGAAGCTTCCATTGTTTCAATATCTATAGTCCATTGTGTTGTATTGCTTGGCCAGCAGAGTATATTTTTTTAATAAAGAGGAATAAAATAAAATCAAACAAAATTAAATTATCAACACTGAAGCAATTATCTTTTCTTATATTTGAATCAGTCTTTGTTAATTTATTATTTGTATCACAGATGATTTTGTTATCTATATTAGATAATAATACAATGCCAAACATTTTTTGAATTCATTTTATTTTAGTTTATAATAATGTAAATTTGAATTAAAGACCCCTTTTTCAATTTGCAGATTCAGTCTGATTGTTATACATAACAATAAAACAGAATCTATTGAATTGAAATATAAAATAATTTTCGAATAAAAATTAGTTTATATTTTACTTAAATGCATTCGATATATGTAAATAAAATTCATTACTTAACAAATTTTGCTAAAAATGCATGAAGTTTCTAAATTGTCAATTAGATTTTCATTTTACATAACTGAATTAGATATATGCATATTAGATAGAGTCCCAAGTCCAAATATTCTATTAACTCAAGAAAAAATTTGATTAATTGAAAAATTGGAAGTAATTCTATTAGATATGAAGATGCAAGAACAGTAACAAATAAATTTTGTTTGGTTTATTTGTCATCCAGATTAATTTAAAATAATTTTTTATCTGTAATATTGATATTTAGAATTTTACAAGATGGAGTCAAGGATTTCTTGTTCCAATGTTTTTACAAATAAGTAAATTGATTTTGTAGTTGGTATCAATAGCATTTTACAATCTCTAGTCTTGTATCTGAAATCTTTGATACCAGATAGACTTTGAATTTTGGGATGGCACAAATTAATATTATTAATAATTAATAAATTAACTGGTATATTTACCATAAAAAATCCACCTTTAATTTTCCAACATTTGTTTTCTGTGTAATCCTTTTAAATGATCATCTTCAGACTCATTAAATATGAAATTATAACACCATAATAAACAATCATTGTCAAACAAATTTAGCAGAACAAGTTTAAATAAATACAGAAGCTTTTAACTTGTTTAAAATTATTTAAACTTATCACTTTGCAAATTATTTTTCACCTCCAAATGAACATGTTTAAAAATAGTAATATAACTTGATTTCTTTAAATGTACAGTATATAAACATTTAACTATTTGTAAAATCATGTAACTTGTTTATGTATGTAGTGTTCTCCAGGTGTTTGATAGAGACAATATTAAATGGTTTCATTATGTTTTTGCACTTATTTTGAACAATGTTACAAGTAAAAACATGCAACTTAGTATGTTTTTCTTGATTGATTGGTCTATAAATTATAAATTACAATAAACAACTATAATATTAAAATGTTTGTCATATGTATAGAGTTTTATGCCATCAGAATGGAATAAAGACAAGTTTTTTTTTTCTTTTTTTAATATTACTTGCTGAGAACTTCTTCCATGCTCTTTAAAATGGATTTTTGGAAATGTATAAAAGTCTATTCTTTAAAGTGAATGCAGTGAACACTTTATTACAGTTATTTTATTGCTAATAAGGATAGTTTATTTCTATTTTCTTCACTTTTATAACAATTTAAAAGGGATTTTTTGGACAAATAAATCGAAATATTATGTCCTTCGAATTAGATGTTCACCTGAGTTCAAGAATTACTCAGAAGACAATTAATTCTCAGATATTTTATTTAAATGCATTTTGGATTGGAAATCTTGCCAATTACTCATCAATAAAAGGTACAATGTGTAACAGAGATTACATTGATATTTCTGACTCTTTGAAATATCAGTGTGACAAGGTGTCAGGTATTAGCTCACATTTATTCAGACTTTTACATTTTATACTATTTTATCTTTTTAATAATAATTGACATTTAAAGATACCTGTTTAGATTTTTATTTATGAAAAATTATATGTAATAATCTGTTTTGTATGCATTATATGCTGCAAGATGACAAAATTATACAATTAAAAAAATACTTATAAAAATGATTTTTTAGTTGATAATTAATGATTTATTGAATTATTTCAGACTGTTTCATCATTTAAATTAAGTCCTGAAACAATAGTGAGTTCTGGTAAATTTCAAATGTTAGATAGCTTTATACCTGAGCTAAAACAAAATGTAAGTTGAATACATTAATAATCAGATTTAATAAATTTTTTCAAAGTAAAAATTAATATAACAA